AATATAAACTAACTAATTTTGTATTAAAATATAAAAAATAATAAATATATTCAATAAAATAAAAATATAAATATTATAAATATATGATATAATAAATATAAAAATAATAATAAATAAATCAAGAATATAAAAATCAGATAAATTAATTAATTTGTAAATCAGAAAAATAATCAGACTGATTATGAATTATACAGATTCTCTAATTTTATGATTAACATAAAATTAAATAAGTAACTTATGTAAAATCAATTTTTAATACTAAATTTTTAATTGGTAATAATATATAAGAAAATTATCAATTTTAAAATTATTATTATTTTTAAAGGAATAATCTTAATATTATATTAGTTCATATACTAAAATCTTTAAACATTTATTAAAACTTTAAATCTAAGAATTAAGAGTAAACTTATTATTAACTTTTTTCTTAATAAATAATATTTCAAGATTGTATTTTTATAGTTAAAATTATAGAAGTTATTTTTATTAGTTAGTATTAAAGTGTTTTTATATATCAGTTTTAATTATAATATATCAATTCTTTTGGTCTTTCATAGATATCTTTTAAATATCTAAAATAAAGCTATTCGTTAATATTATGAAAAGTTTCTATACCTTTTGTATTTCAATTTTTTTACTTATTTTTTTAGTTTCATTTTCATTCTTATTGATAATTCAATTAGAAAATTTCAAAAAAAAATATATAATATACTAAATAGCATTCATATTAATGATTTATTCATAATAATAAACATATAATTTTATCTAACTTTTGTTGATTTTTATTATATAATTTTTGGATTTTTATAAGTTACAAATTGGATTAGTAAAGGAATTAGAATTATTAATACAAATAATATTTTTATAAAAAAACTGATTTTTTAATAATATTTTAAGTTTAGTTAAAATTTTTATAAAATATTAAAATATTTTTTTTTATTATTAAGAAATATTAAAAAAAAAATTAAAGTTTAATTTCTTACATTTAATAAATTATTAATATGTCAAAATAATTTATTATATTTATTGTATATAGAAAAATTAAATAGGTATTTATAATTAACTTTAAAATAAAAAATTATTTTATTTTTTATCAAATTATTTATTAATTTAATATTAAAAAATTAGTTTAAATTAGCTTTAATTTTTTTATAATATCTTATATCAATATTCTTTTATAATATAAATTTCTAAGTTAGATAGAATGATAACTTATTGCTAATTACTTTATATAATATTAAACAGTAATATTTATTATAAATGTATTTTTGCCTGCTGGTTTTGAATATTATTTTGATTTATTTGATAAAAACATTTTTTATTAAGTGATTGACAATGTAAATTCCTTTTTGGAAACTTGTGTATTCCTGTGTAATCCAAATTTTAATTTTTGCCAGAAGTTTTTTTTTTTGATTTGTATATTATCACATGACATAAATTGACGGCACTAACAAAAATTTTGCGATCACGTGATAATAGGCCTGCATTATGCATAACTAAATCTAAATCTAAAAAGGTGCGTATGACAAATATGATTTCACGTTTAAAATAATTCTCAGTCCCTAATAATTGCGTATCACGTGATCGCGACATTGTGTGGTGCCGACCAATAAAACTGCGCCTCATTAGATAACAATTTATAATATTTTACCAATAAAAAAAATTTTAAATTACATTTTATTTATTTTATTTTCATTAATATACAGTATATATATATCATCATCATTTGTAAAAATTGAAATTTTTTTGATATTAGTCGAAATATTTTTAGAAACCGATTGTAAGTTTTAGCTTTTATTTTTAATTAGCTTTTGAGGATATATTATTTATCAGTAATATGTTGCAAAGAATTTGATAAATAGTATATTCTTGATTAAATGTAATTCTAATTGCTATTGTTTAAGTCTTATTACTTTCAGGAGAAACGTCATTTTCGTCATTCCGAAGATGATGATCTACCGAAATTTCCTAAAAAAAATTTGCATTATGATGACTAAATTAAGATTTTCATGTATTATATTATGATAAGTCGATCACTTTGCGTTTCGAACTTTTTGATCCTAGTTTCGAATTTCGACTCGCGTTTCGAATTCGAACTTTAGACTTAAGTTTCGACATTTCGATTTGGGAGTCGACTGAAAAAAAAAAGATCATCCATTTATTTATTTACAGACCGTTTTGAGAATTGACAATTACAATAATCTTGTTTAAACTTGAAACGTATTACCCCTTTTGAGTTACAAATTAATTAATTAAATGCAATGTAGTGATCTTTGCATACAATATTATTTGTTAAAGAACTAAAAAAAAAAAAAAAAATGTGAATGCACACGCAGATTAAAAATATACCCCCGCGTTCTCGATGCTAAAAATAGAATTCCGTTTTGAAAAGGGACTATGATGCGGATCTGCAAATTGCACCATTTTACAATATAATATGTATTACAGTATATTTTTAATTATGCATTTTGTCTAAAAATGATTTAGCACAATATTATTGTTTCGTTTGATTCAATAGATTTTTAATTGTTCTTTCAAGTTGATAGAATTTTTCCTTTCAGGTAAGCTGTTGACATGGGGAACGTTTCAGGTTCCATAACTAATTATCACCTCCCCGTAGATAATGAACAGAACTGAGGCATTGACGATACGTCAATGAGTTTTTGCAAATATCCTTCTTCAAAGCTTTTGGGATAACGAAGGAGAATTTTCGTTATAAAATAGATCCAAGTGAACATAATGTGAAAACGAATACGATCGGAACAAACTCATTGTAATATCATAAAACAAGACTACTTCTATTTCCATAAGTCTATGTGGTTCCAATTTTAGAATTTCGAGATCAGGTTCTTTAATCATATTATAATTAATGGCAAGCAAAAGTACGAATCGGACGCTCTTGACGCGTAGTTGTGGTAGGTAATGCGTCAAATGCAATAGACACGACCACCAAAAAATTTTGGGATTTCGTTTAAAATGAATTCATCCAGAATTGCGTTCAAGAAAATTTTCGGCACAAGTAATGATTTTTTTAAAAAAAAAATGAATTAAAAAATGAAAATGTTGGGTTTTATTTGTAAGAAAAGAAAGTTAATTGGTTTTAAGAACAATTATATAAATCAATTTGTATGTCGTGTATGTCGTGAAGTAAAAAAAAAAATTGATAAAAAATTTGTGATCGGAATGAATCACACCGTGTGGTGATTAAGAGTGAATTGAATCAGATCAAAACAATAAAATTAATTCGGTAATAAAAAATATAAAATGTTAATATACATTTTCAAACATGTATTCATTATTTGTTCTAGGTACTCTTACATAATCAATTTAAACAAAATTTAAATTTAACGAATATCGAATTTTGATTTTTTTGTTAAGTACCTCAAATAGTTGAGACATTTTATTTCTTCGATAAATTATTCAAAATTTTGAGGATGTCTTAAAGGTTAATCAAAACATACTCTTGATCCAATATGATATTACGTCACTTTTTAACATCGAGTTATCGATGACACGTCCCAAAAATTATGCATGGTATCAGATATCATTTGTTTTACATCAAAAGGTACAGTGCATAACCCCGCAAATCCCTTAAAACCTTGAATCAGGTTGAAAACTTCTCCTGATTTTAAGAATGAGAATGACAAACAAATCTGCGATAGGATCAGATCATAATCTGTAACAACCTCATTCGAAGTGTTGCAACATCCATATACATACATGATGGATAAAAATAGCCTTTACACAAAAATGGTTTTTACGGGCTCGTGTAACATCCCATTTAATGAATGAAGTCCTCGATTTTACAAAGAGTTCGTGGTTTATTTTGTTCTTTGATTGCTTGATTCTTTGACAAATTTGGACATGTTTCATTATGAGTGGTCGGATTTTTTTAAAAAGAAATTGTTTCCGCCAAAAAAAGACTTGAAGAAATGCTATCTTTTTTTTTCTTTTTTTTTCTTAATTTTAATTTTGATCTCGTTTGGTACGTTAAAACCCCGCACCTCGTTTCAATTGTGGAATAACTTCGGATCTATTTTCTTTGTTTAAGAAAAAAACAAACAAATTTCTTTAAGAAAATTTTATAAACAGGTCTTTTATTGATTTATCCAATCGCATTTTTTATTTGGACATCAAGAAAAATTGGAAGGACGAAAAACAATGTAATTATCACTTTATGTCGCTGGTGATAATTAACGCCTTGATTAATTAAATATTACTAAACTCGACAACCACACGATTAAAAAATCTATATCCAAAAGAGCTTTCAAAGGTCATAACCTAAATAAAGAAGACAATATAATAAAGCTAATCTTCCACATAGGTCAAACAATAGTTAACGGACAAAGGATGATCGGACAAATCAAATTAAATTTGCCCAGTTATTATTTGCTCATGCAATAAGGCGTAGCAATCATTATTCCACCTACATATTTAAATTCGAATTAGAGGTACTGGTTAATCCAGGTACACGTTGAAGTTACATAATCGTCTAAATTTGGTTAATCAATTTCTTAGAAAAAAAAACTTTTTCTTGACTGAAATTGTCTCTGAGGAGTAAATAAAAAAGTAAATGATCTTCAATCCTCACAAACAAAAGAATTTTTGTGAACGTTCGGGAAGATGAAACTCGAAAGATACATGTAAGGGAGTATCTCGATAAGTTTCAATCGAATTCAATAGATCAGAATTTCTATAAATACGGCTCATTTGTCTCGAATGTTTTTTTCCTCCATCCAAAGATATTTCCAACACTTTCGTTTCCAAGTTTTTAATTTTCTTTTCAAAAATAAAAAAGAGCAATAATCCCCCGGACGGGCTCTGTTGACTCAAATATACAAATTTTTTAAAAAAAACAAAAAAAAAAAAAAAACACACTACAATTCTTCTTACTTTCTAGCAGGCTAGAACTTCTTTTTTTTTCTTTATTATATATTATACATATTTAGATTTAGATATTTTCATTTCCATTTTTTTCTTATCCCCTATTTACAATAAAAATGAAGTTCTCTTCTGCTCTCATCGCTGTTTTCGCTACACTTGTCTCTACAGTTTCATCACACACCACTATCTCATTTCCTCCACCAAGAGGACATCCATTAAATGAAAATGCAGCTGTCCAAGATTTTGAATGTATTTCGGCACCATTAAATGGTGGTTCAGGATGTGCTCCCAAAAAATTTCCATGTGGAGGTTATCCAAAAGATAAAAAGATCGTTACAACTTTTAATGCCGGTGAAGTTTTTGAGGTCAAATTTTTTAATCAAAACTTTCCTGAATTGAAAGACGAGGATAAACAAAATGATCAAGCAAGGCATAACGGTGGTATTTGTGAATTTGCCTTATCTTATGATGGTGGTGAATCTTATACTGTCATCGCTACTTATAAAAAAACTTGTCCTGATATCTTTTTCGACGGTTGGAAAGTTAAGATCCCGGAAAATGCTCCTTCTTGTGATAGTCCTGGGGATTGTATCTTTTCTTGGAGTTGGGTTAATGCTTTAGGAAATAGAGAATTTTATCAAAATTGTGCTGATATTAAAATTGTAGGAAATGCCACGGAACCTTTACCTATCATTGATATTACAAGAGCAAATTTACCTCCTCTTTTCGAGAAAATTTTAACTCCTGAAGGTGATGATTCTAATAATGGTAATGCTATCGGTTCCGGTCCAAGAAAAGAAGATGTTGAAGCTAATTTGGCTTTAAAGATTGGCGATGGAAAAAACAAAAGTCCTCCAAAAGATGATGAAAATCCCAAAGAACCAAAAGATGATGAAAATCCCAAAGAACCAAAAGATGATGAAAATCCCAAAGAACCCAAAGATGATGAAAATCCCAAAGAACCCAAAGATGAAAATCCCAAAGAACCCAAAGATGATGAAAATCCCAAAGAACCCAAAGATGATGAAAATCCCAAAGAACCCAATGATGATGAAAATCCCAAGGAACCCAAAGATGAAAATCCCAAAGAACCCAATGATGATGAAAATCCCAAGGAACCCAAAGATGATGAAAATCCCAAGGAACCCAAAGATGAAAATCCCAAAGAACCCAAAGAAGATGTTGGCAAAACTCCCGAAAAAATTCCATGTAGCGAAAATGGTATAATGGTCTGTGGTAAAGAAGGTGAAAGTGGTGAATTCCTTACATGTGATAATGGTAAAATGGTTTCAAGAACTTGTCCCGGAATTCTAATCTGTAAGCAAAATGATAAATCAATCGTATGTGATTTTCTAAAGAGAAGATAAACATCACTTTTCGAAACCGACAAGGCCGTTTTTATATTTTTATTTAATAATAAGAAGAATTATAGTGTGTTTTTTTTTTTAAAAAAAAAAAAAAAAAAAAAATTGAACTTTGTATATTACATTCAAAAAAAAAAAAAGAAAATTTAAAACCTGTATAACACGGGAAAAGTATAATTATAAAAAAAAATGTATATTATTTTAATATACGAAAAAAGTGTTTGGATAAAAATATTTTTGGATCAAAAAAGTTTCTTTTTAAAAATAGCATTTAACAGAAAACTCATTAATTCCGGTTAAATAATTTATATTCCTAGTTATTATCGTAAAAAATAGATATTAATTGCTATTATTCCTTTCATTCTTTTAAAAAATATTAATTGGGATTTTTTTTTAAAAAAAAACCTCCTTATAAATAGGTAAATAGAATTGTTTTTTTATAATAAAAATGTATTTACGATTCTAAATCAAAAATTAGTTAATTATTTTTGTAAAGTGTATTTTTAATTTGCATCCTTGAACAAGTACTATAATATTTGAAGTGATTGCAAAGTAAATGGTTATTCAAACAAAATCGGTTTGCGCTCACTGTCCTTATAAAAAAAAACTGAAACATAACTATCTAACTTTCAAACTTTACCTCATCAAATTTCAAGATGTTTGAAGTCAAACCTTTAAAAGCAAAAATATGAGAAACTAGTTAAGCTCGAATTTAAATCAAATTTTTTACATAAAAATTATATGCACGTGCATAAATTAATTAGAATCTTTGTAAATTTGTTGGGGATGTTAAATTTGCTCAAGCGGTTCAGCTTGAGTTTGAAACAAGCTAAGCTGTTTTGGGGCAACGAGCTTCCTGAGCAATTGAGCTTGATAAACACGTATATGTTAAATAGTTAGACTAGATTACTCAATTAGTTGGTCTTGATAATCAAACGAATCTGCTTATTATCTTAATCTATTAAAATTTTATACAGATTTTTGTTTTTTTAAGATACACTACCCTATTATTGATCAATCAATAAAAATTATTAAATATTAATATTTAGTTGGCCATCCTTGGCTTTTAATGCATGTTTCAATCCGATGTAATATGCTGTCAATTAAATTAATATAAGTTTCAGGTGGAATTTTTTCCATCTTCTTGTAATGATTCTTCAAATTCATAAAAATTCTTTAGATGCACAAATCATTTTCGAAGTCTCTGTTCAAGTTCATATCACAAATGTTCAATAGGATTAAAGTCTGGAAATTGAAAAGGCCAATTTGGAAGAACCTTAATCTTTTTTTGTGTAATCCAATTTAATACCTTTTGCAATATTAATGAGAGCATTATCATTCTAAAATGCATTAGGCTGTTTGTAATATTTGGATTGGATGAATGGTAATAAATTTTTTCTTCAATATTAATATAGTCAAATCTATTTATTTTACCATCTACTTTTACTAATGGTTTCATTTCTTTTCTAAAAAATCTTCCCACATTATAGCATTTCCACCACTATGTTTAACTGTAGATGTTAAATTCTTAATATTATATCAGATCTATCTTTTAACTAAATAAGACTAGGATTATCATTTTAAAAAAAGAATAAGTATGAATTTACCATTCTATATAGGGTTAGTAAAAGTCCTAATAAGTCCTAATTGATCTTAAAGAATTTAAAGATAATTTTAATTTATATACTATTAATTAAATTTTTTAATAATAAATTAATCTTTTTAATAATTATTATATATCAATTATTTTATTAATTTAAAATAAAAAAATTCTTTAAAAATAATAAATATATTTATTTTAGGACCTGGTCCTAGGACCTAAATCCTAAAACTAAAATTTTAAAGATATTTTAAATTTTAAAAAGAAATTTAAACTTATTTTAATAAGTAATTTTAATTAAAAAATTAAATATAATGATAATTAAAAAAATTTAATCTTTAAAACTAATAATTTTTTTAAAATTAATCAGGACCAATTAGGACCAATTAGAAATTTTACTAATCCTAATTTTAGATGATAGTTTTTTACTATCTAACTAATAAATTTTATCATTCTATATATCATGACAATCATTTTTATGATAAAATTCTGTAAAAATAGTTTTAATACAAAAACCTATGAATAAATCCCACTTGATAAAGGTTTTACAAATAGTTAAAACTAAAATATTTATATCTTATGAACTATTAGAATTTCATCCAGAAAAGTTTATTCTTAATAATTTTTGAAAGTTTGTATTAATCATTATTATATATAAAGTCAAAATAATCAAAATAATATTATATCACATGATTTTTCATACATAAAAAAATCTAAAAAATAAAAAATGTAAGATCTCAGTCACTATCGTTCAGATTCTTATGAAATAACTATCATTTAATTTCTCGTAACTCAATGAATTTAATAAGTTATATTACATTAATTTCAATCTAGCTAATCTTAAAATGTATTTTAAAAATCTGAATCTTTTTATTTAAAGTTGAATTTATTTGAATTATAATTTTGACTGATAATTAAAACCATGATTATTTTAAGAATAGCTGATCTAAAATCAATATAATATAACTTATTAGATCTATCAAGTTACAAGGAATTGAATAGTAGTTGTTTCATGTGATTCAGAATAATATAGATAAGATCATACATTTTTTATTTTATTTTTTTTTTTATATATATAAAAAATCATATAATATAATATTATTTTAATCATTTTGACTTTTATTTTGTCTTTAACCTTTAAAATTGAAATATTTTGACTTTTGGATTTATATTTTGACTTTATATATGAAAAGTATGCTATTAAAATTGAGGTACAAGATATAATAAATCATATGATCTGTATCTTTTTTAATAATATACTTAGGAATGATATAGTTCAGTTTAATGTAGCTTCAGTTCAGTTTTAGTTTAGTTACATGATTTAAACTGAAAACTTGGCTTTTTTATCTTAGTTTAAACTGATCATATGATCAATTTCGAAATGATTTAAAACTTAGTTTTTGATAGTTTTTTTGATAGTTTATTAACATAACTGTAAATTAAATAAAACATTAACTTTATTCATTAAACTATTTTTTTTACTTAAATATCTTATCTATAAAAACTATTCCAATTTTTGCTATTAATTGAAATTAACGTATTAAAATTGATCGATGATTTTATAAATTTAAATATTACATAAATCTGCAAGAAGATAATCTGTTAAAGTATCCAAAATACTAATTGATCTTCATGTATTCTTAGCTTTCAGACTTAAATAAAACTTTTGAAATTAAAATCTAACACTTCAATTTCTTAAGTCTGATGATTCTAATATTACTAGGAAAGTATTATCTAAATTGTAATATGTAAATGCTATTTCAAATCATTATAATATACTACATATACTAATTTCAATTTTAGTTTATTACCAATAGTAAAATAAAATCATTTGATGATGATTCATCAAATTTACAAAAGGTGATTATATTCACGCTATATTTGATACATTTTAGAAAACTATTTATAAAACTTCAAAAGAAATCAAAAAGATAAAGAATGATTTCATCAAGAAAAAAATAAAATTTTTACCATGCCAAATAGCTAAATTAAAAGCAAAAAAACTAACTCAAAAATAGATAGAAAAAGATAAAGTAAATCAATAATGTTGTTATTTAAACTTTTTTATATTAAAAGTCTGAACTAACTATACTTTTTTTTTAATGTTTCTACTCTATTCTCAATCCATGATTTTGCATATAATGTTGTTCAAGCTATTTCTGGATGGATACAATTTCTTGTTTTAGTATTAGTATTATCTGCCACAAAAAAAGCCTGCTCATATGCCATACTTATTGCTTGAATTAAAAGAAAATCACAAGACATTAATGCTAAAATAGGATATTTATGTTCATATGCTTATCACCAAAGAAGTAATTTTATATTTTCGTCAATTCGTGATGCTAGATATCTATCTAATTCATCTGAAACTACTGAAGATAATCCTGTGAATTGTATAGTAGAACTATTAGTTGATGTTATAGAAGAGGGTTAGAAAGTATTATTATTTAAACGTCGTTTTTTAATTTTTGAAAGTATTGATGCAGATTTTCATTTTCTTCTTCAGTTTTACTGTTTTTAGAAATTATTATATGATAATCTGTCAATAAAGAAGTTATTGCAGAAATAGCTTCAGTTATTGATATTTCAGTTTCAAAAAAAGAAAGTTTAATTTGAGAATCAAGAACAGTAAATACTAAGATTTGTTTATTTACTTAGGTCCAATATTTATCAATTTTTTGATTTATTGAAGAAGCTAATTCATTTTATATAAATCCATCACTTCCAATAATATCATTAAATGTTCTAATATTCTAAGAAATATAAAATGAACATCAGCAATCATTGGATATTGTGCAGCTAATAAATAAATAGTAGTTCTCTCTAATGGTTCCAAAACAATTAATATATCCTTTATTTAATTAAATTTAAATATTAATTTATTAATTTAATAATAATTAAATAAAACAATTTATTATATATTAAAATTTTAAATTTACTTTAATTATTATCCAATCACTTTCTATTAGCATTAATATTTATATTCATGATTATTTACAGCTAGCATTTGCATCACACTTCACATTTTTTTCCATTTTTTTCAATATATTATATAAAAAATTCCATCTTGTCTTTACATTTAATTCCAGTCTTAAATAATTAACATTAGTATATTGACATAATTAACTGATCGCTAATTATTATTGAATTTTTAATTTTTATCATTAATTGTCGTACTTTTATAACAGTATTATCTATTAATTCAAGTTCTTGCTGAGCTGCTAAGTTTAAAATGTATTGTTATCCAACTAATGATTAGGCAGACTGAAACACTTAATCAATTGAGTAGTAGCAAGATTTAGCTCAATCTTTAGTAAGTTTTGGGAGAGACTTTAGTAAATTCAGATTTCTGTTGACTTCAGTATTCTTTCACGATTAAGTTTCAGAATTGGCAAGTATGACAACTTCCAATACTTCACGTAAGACAAATAATTTCCTCTGACATAGGAAATTCTCAGTTGACATTACACAGCTTATTTGTAACCAAGTAGATAGTGTTTAAGTAGTTTAAAGATTACTTAAATCTAGATGACACAAAGCAGGGTTTATAACGTTAAGTAATTTACAATTACTTAACCAAGGTTTTCGCAAAGCAAGTTGATAACGTTAAGCAATTTAATATTACTTAACCAAGGTTGACACAAAACAATAACGTTAAGCAATTCAATATTACTTAACCAAAGTTGACACAAAGCAGGTTTTGACACAAAGCAGTTTATTTGTTACGAGACAATTTAGCAAAGAGTTTTTATTATCTTATAAAATTAACTTCCTAAATTTCTATCGATACATGATGAAAAACTCAGCTTATTTATAATAAAATTTCTACACTAAATTGCTATCTATTGCATAAAAACTATATAATGATTCCCTCATTTTCTCAATGTAATATTGTTGTAATAATTGAGTAATGACTACCTAACACGTTTGAATATATCATAAGTTAGAAGATATATCTTGAAACAGAAGCAATACATTCTATTTGATATAATTAGTTGTGACAAGAATATCAGATTGATTCTTTTAAGATGGTGAAAAACATTTTTATACATATAAAATCCAATTAAATCTAAAATTAATTATGATTTTCCTTATAGAATATTTAAATAATTGATAGTAATATTAAATGATGAATTAAATTGTTTTATTAATGATAAAGTTGAGGACTACTAATCTTTAAAGTAAAATGCATAAAAAAGAATCAAAAGCAAAATAGCGAAAAAAAAACTATTTATTGTACTAAAGTTAAAGAATATAGATTATTGCTATGATATCTAAAAATCCTTGATTGTTAATGATCTTTTGGAGATTTAAGGTCTTAGATTATAGTTGTTGATCAAAAAGATGAGTTAATTTATAAATTTTAGCAAAATAAATTATAGCTTGAGATATGTTAATTGATAAATGTAAGGTTGCCTTAAATATTTTTCTAAATATAACTATAATACTTTTACTAAAGTTAAAATAAGATAAGTAGTTTGTATTTTGTAAAGAATTCTAGAAATAATTATAGCATTAAAAATTGAAGTTATTTATTTATCTGTTAGTCTTTTTTTTTATAGTAGTAGTAGAAGTTATATTTTTATCCTTTACTTGCTAATAAATAAAATTTTCATTTTATTATATAGATATTCAAATTTCTAAATATCAAACAGATACTTTAGGATTAGCAGATTTGAGTCACATATTATTATTAGATAATCTAAATTAATATTATTTTATATTTGAAGGTAAGTAAGTAGAAGAGATTTTTTCCAATATTGTTTAGAATGTAAAAGCTATTTATAATTAATATAATTTTATTTAGATTATCTTTTGATTTATTTAATCATAAAGTATTGTTCATATATGTTAAGTAAAATATGTGTACAATTGTTGTTATTAGTGTTAGTATTATAATATTAAAGGTCAGAAGTACTTTTAATTGATATCCTAATAATGATTATTAAATTCTGATTAATAATAAATTATAGTAAATACATCATAGTATTAATGAAATAATTTTTTCTTAATTAATACCAGAAATTAATATATATTCATTAGTATTACTATATGTTATAAAGACTTGATTAAATTATAAAGAAAACAAAGAACAAACAAAGTTAAGAAATAAAGATAGGAGATAAAGTCATTCAAAAGCTTTTTGTAATATTTTTATATTAATTCAATCATAGACCTTTGATATATTCTGAAAAAGAAATTACAGAAATTGATGATAATGATTATAGATAAGATTATTCAAAATATATATTAGTTCAAATGTTAAGTAAAATGGTAATTCTGCAAAATTATTGTCTTTGAGAATATTATAATTAGATAAAGTTATATGTAGTCTTTTGTTAATTAGTTTGATAAGAACTTTTCTTAGACATTCTAAAAGCATTATGGGTTATATATTATTTAAACTATGTTTTTATGGTTTATTAGATACATATAAGCCAAATTCTAAGTATCTGAAATGAATACAAGAATAAGGCAGGCCTTAATAAAAATCAAATATGACTTTGCTATTTGAAATCCAAGATATTTAAGCATTTCATTGGAAATTTTAATATAATCACTAGCTTTTCTATTAGGAAGTGACTTAATGATTTAGAATTATTTTTTTTCAGTTAAAACATTTATAAGTTTGTTATAAATAGAAGGATTAACATTTTATATAGGATCATAAAAAGGTTTCTAATCATTTAAAATTAAAGTTTTTAATTATTTAAATTAATGTTAAAACTTGAATTTTTTAAAATAAGAAATCTGATTATTACACCTTTTATTGCTTAAAAAATTTGAAAATATATAAAATTTTATTCTGCATTATCATTATTGTATGCAATTCAATATTTTAATTCTCAATTTATTCAATCATTTCAAAATAGATTATAATTAATTTCAAATTTAAAAATCCTTCTAATTTTATTATAACCAAATAGATAATTTATTGTATTTTATTAGAAATTTGAAAAGGATAATAAAGATTTTTTAAATTTATTAAATAGTATTAATTTATATATAATTATCTATTTTGAAAGTTGATATTAAATATATTTTTTTCTAATTATAAAGAATTTTAGATGATAAATACAAATTATTTTCTAAAAATTCTATTGAAATATTAAATTTCTTATATTATTCCTTCAATAGTTTTTCTTTTAAATTTAAAAGGAATTTTACTTCTAATTAAAATTAATTTTAGATACATTAAAAATTAGTCATCAAAAAAATAATATATTTATAATAAAATTTAAAAAATAAAATTATATTATTTTTGTATTAATCTAAAATCAAAGTTTTGAATAAAAGTATTTTCTTATATTATTAAAAAAAACTTTATAAAATATAAAATTTATATGTAAAGCATATATTTAATATTTTAATTTTTAATGTAGAATTTTACATCAACAGCTGCAAGTTTAATGAAAATCATTACCATTTAAGCAATAAAAGGTAAGTATGAAATGTGTGCCAGGTTACACTGATAAAATTTTGTTGATTTCACTAATCTTATAATTCAAACCAATCAAGTTATATAGTATCTTAATTAAACCTGGGTTTAGAACCGACCTTTCATTTTTAGGCTTTGTGTATTCTATCTCAGCCAGCCCAGATTTCAAAATTCTGTACGAAGAATGTATAAATCCGGAAAATTGGTGAGATACAATAACTTAAGTAAATTTAAGTTCCAAAGGTATGCTTATAGGGAGTGGCATTTATTAGAGTTGACTGTAAATCAAAATTTAAACCATTGCTAATTCCCCTTTTTTAAAATTGCTTATTTTAATTTTTTTTTATAAATCATTTATATTATTATTTGAGAAACCATTCAAACCATTTCACTAAACACTCTAATGAAATTTTTAATGATATCTTTGGTTTTTTTTTATTCCTAGTAGAATCATGCTTGCATATTGATCGACAGCTTGCTTGATTGTTTTGCTTTGCTAATTTAAACAATATATATTAAACCGACCGATCATAATTGACGTCTTTCTTATTTTTTTTTTTTTTTAAAAAAAAAAAAATTTTCAAAAATGGGAGTACCTGGCTTCTTTAAATGGTTATCTTTACGTTATCCTCATATTGTAGAAACAGTCAAAAAAACACCACGAAGTAAAACAGATTTTTTGTATTTAGATATAAATGCTTTATTTCATGTCGCAATTCGAAATAAAAAATTCTCTAAAAAACCAAAGACTCCACGTCGAGTATTGTCAAAAGTATTTAAAGAAATGGATACTGCATTCAGCGTTTGTGAGCCACAAATATTGGTATATATAGCCATGGATGGTGTTGCTCCTAGAGCAAAAATGAATGAACAAAGATCAAGAAGGTACTTGGCTCAAACTAATCAAGGTTCTTCTGATTCATCCAATATTTCAACAAGTGAATCATTTGATGATAATTCATTGAAAGCAAATCATGAGAAAGGTTCTGGATTTTTTGTCCCGGTTGATTCTGTTGCAATATCAGCGGGAACATCTTTTATGCAATCAGCGAATGATGCTATTAAATTTTATATTTATCAACGTTTAAATGGCAAAGCGAAAAGTCTTCAAGTCATATTCAATGATTCTAGTGTAGCGGGGGAAGGTGAACACAAGGTCTTTCAATTTTTAAACGCGCAACGCAAAGAACCAGGATATAATTCAAAATTTCGACATATAGTTTGCGGAGGAGACGCCGATTTCATCATGTACGCTTTGTTAACACATGAACCCAACTTACGTATTTTACGACCGGGAACTAATGGCGATGATGTCGTGTTAAACATAAATAGACTTCGCAAACATATTTTACATGATATGGTAGCACCTCAATTAACTGCAGAGATTAATGAGGAAAATATAATCGAAGATTTTGTATGTATTGTAAATTTACTTGGTAATGATTTTTTGCCAAGGTTAACGCATTTAGGTGAAACACGAGTGGATCTCTTATTTCGTGCGTACCGAAATTATTTTAATAAATATCGAACTTATATCACCAATAAAGGTGGATTTATCAACATGGAACAATTTCTCAGTTTTATCAAGTTTATAGGAGAAAGGAAATTTTATACTAGTAGTAGTACGTCGAATTTGAAGCCTGCTCCCGTAAGCGAAGTTGCAACCAGAGCAAATGATTACATGAAAACAATTTGTTGGGCTTTACAATATTACTCTGGTGATTGTCCAAGTTGGAAGTTTTATTACCCTCATCATAAGCCACCATCTATTGAAGAAATATTGAAACATGTGCATGCGGAAGGTTTTGATCAAACCTTCAATGCGGATACTCCGATGCGACCATTTGAACAATTGATGTGTATCATTCCTCCAGTATGCCATTATCTTTTACCCGAACCTTTCCATGATCTACTTACAGATCCAAAGTCACCAATAATAGAATATTATCCAACAAAATTTAGTAGTTCAAATTGTAAAGCCATCTTGCCATTTATTGATGAAAAGGTTTTATCGCAAGCAATGGAACCACGATCTTCTTTACTTAGCCCGGAAGATGCGCGTAGAAATGACGTTAATGGGTATGTAAACATTTATTCGGGGAAAAATTCGACTACTTACCCAACCATATATTCACTCTGCATGGCAAGAGGTGGAAATTCCGTCTTTCCTGCAAATTCGGTTGTTTTCGGACAATTATTTTATGGTGGACCGATGCGAATATCAATTGTCTCACCAATTAATGAATGGCGTAATATTTATCGTAATTCGGTTGTTAATGCTGAATATAGATTGCCAAATTTTCTTGGTGATTCATCGTTCAAAAATCGAGTTAACTCTTTACAATATAATACAATGCAACCTTCAAATACTACAAAGAACGAACCTTACAATCATCAATCATCTTCGTCATTATCAAGCTTCCGAAATTATCAAGTTATCTCATCAAACTCAAATGTGTTAATGACTAACACAAATATATCTAGGGGATATTCAAATTCGGAGGAACGACCAAATGCGAATGTAGGATTCTTCACAAATCAGCATAGGAGTTTGTTTCAGGGGAATGCCTCCATTAATTCAACATCTCAATTTCGTAATGATGGAACGGTACTTCTAGGGAATGCATCAAATTTGCGCAATTTTACAACAACCAGTTTAAGGTCACATACGTCAATACCTTCAGAATGTCAAAATGTAATTTTTCAATCACAAGTTCAAAATAGGACGCGCCCAGTAGATGGAAGATATTTTGTCGATCAAAATGTAACATTAAACTAGGGACGGAGTGAAAATCTTGACTAATGAAAATGACAGATTGAGCTAAATCACGTGAATAATTTTTTTATACTTTTCCGAATAAGTTAAAGTTTAATATACCGTATAGAGTTTATTTTTAATTCACGTGATAAAATTTAATACCGTTCCGATTAATAAAATATAGAAAATATCAATGCGCTATGCAAAAAAATTTATTAGTCTTTTTGAAATGCTTAAAAGTTTGTTAATTTGAAGAACAACATTGATCTTATACAAAAAAAAAATAAAAAATAAAAATAATCGATATATTTATATGTATTATACATAATCATTCCTATTGTTGCTATTAATTAATTATTTTTTATTTTCAAATTCAATCACTGATAATAAAGATCAGAATTTATAAGATCATATAATTAAAAAAATCGAATATGAAGTCTTCATTCCCATTAATCCAAAATCCACTATAATGAATTTGAAAGCAACAAAAAGATTTCCGAACAATATGAAGAAAGGCTTGTATGTGATTATGAAAGAAAGTGGCAAAAAAGAATCATTAAAACCTCCAAAGAACATAAAGAGTGACTCAGAAGCATGTGTGAAAGAAGGAGAAAAAAGGAAAATGAAGAGAAACAACATCATGAAATCGAGAAATAGACCAGAGACAAAACTAAAAGAACAATAATGAAAACTCAGCCACTATCATCGCTGATGATGAACACACTTTGTTACAGAATATTTGAAACAAATTAGGTATAATTTGAGTCTCATATGTAACAAGAGAATTTCAGAAATGATGCTTATCAAGATAGTAATGTGTCATTATTATTATACAGAAAAGAAATCACCTAAAAAATTTTCTTCTAAAAATAAAATAGAATCTGGAGACATATCAAAAGAGCTAAAAGGTCTAAAAAAAATGTTAATAACATAAGTATTCACAGTAATGTCAGTATATCAATTTCAAAAAGACTAAAACGAATATAGAAGAAATGTCATAAACTTTTTTCAAAATATCCAAAAATTTACAAAATAGCTTTTACATCATTTACCATTATTAGAAATTCTTATAGTAAGGCAGTAATCAAAAAATGATCCAACAGGTTTCAGGGATTCATTGTACGTTTATGATAAAGTTGCTAATACTATTATAGTTAAAAGCAAATAACTACTATTATGAAGATATAACTTGAATTCTTACTAGAGCTCTGAATTAGATTAGGTCAACCTATTAGGTTAATATCAGGTTAATCAATCAAATCAAATCAAATAAAGTATTTAAAAAAAAAATTTTTTTTTGATTTATTTTTTTTAATTTTATTTATAGCATTTTTAATTTTTAATTTTCTCACTTTTCACAAAAATAACAAAAAATGCCAATAACAAGACAAATGAAAATAAATAATGTAAAAAAAAGTTCACAAAATATTACAAATAACAAACACAACAACAATAATAACAACAATAATACTGCCTTTAACACTCTAACAAACTAAAAACAAATTAAAAAATAAAACTCATTAGCAATACTTTTTCTCAAATTCAAGAAATGCTCTTAGAAAAAACTATTACAATATCATTATCAGCAACAATACTATTTTATCTATCAACGACTTTAACACTCAAATCTAAAATTATAGAAATTATGAATATTGATCCAACTTCTCCTGTTTCAAAAAATAATACTCATCTTCTTTCTGTTCTTCAAACAACAAACGATTCTATGCATATTTCTAGTTCTTCAAATAATAGTAATAAAAATAATAACAAACTCCATTTAATCACAATTATACATGAAGTCGAAATGAAAACCCAAAAAGTCAAAATGAAAAGTCGAAATGGTCGAAATTACGTCATATCACATGATTTTATATATAGAAAATAAAAGATGTATAATCTCAGTCAATATCGCTCCGATTCGTATGAAACAACTACCATTTGATTCCTCATGACTAGACGAATCCAATGAGATAACATTCATTGATTTGGATCATCACATCTCGAGATATTTGCGATCGTATTTCAAAATCTGGACTCCTTTATTTAAAGTAGAATTTATTGATTTATAATTTCGGCCAATAATACAATTGCGAATATCTCATGATTGGATGATCCAAATTCAATGAATGTTAGCTCATTGGCTCTGTCTAGTCGCAAGGAATCGAATGGTAGTTGGTTCATACGAATCGGTGCGATATTGACCGAGATCGTATATCTTTTGTTTTTTGTTTTTTCTAAATATAAAAAATCATGTGATATGATGTCATTTCAACTATTTCGCGACTTTAGCCTCCAATGGTCAAAATGATTTCGACCATTTCGACCATTTCGGATATCCGAAATGATCCATTTCGACTTCATGTATAGTGGTGTTATCAATTTAATAAAAAAAAAAAATAGAGAATTTAAATTTGATTAATATAATGAATATGAATTGTTATTTTATAAGGGATAGTTTGAAATTTTCTATATTATTTATAGATATATCTTCTTAACTTAAAATTAATATCTGTAATCTATATATAAATTTAAGTTAAATATAGATAATTATAATAGATTTAATAGATAATTGTTTATTATTTGATATATTTTATTTAAATACTTTTTGCCAATTTAAATAAAAATTACAACTAATGGAATATCATACTTTAATATAATTATATTAAAGTATGATATCCTACTTGGACTAGATTATGATATCATACTATAATCTGAATATCACAATATAATCTAAATATCACACTATGATCTAAATATCATGCTTTAGTCTAATAGCTATAACCTGATTACCATGCTTTAATTTAAATACATAATCTAATTACCACTCTTTAATCTACTTACTTTTTTTTATGTTATCTTTTCTTATATTCTAATTATCTATTTAACCCTTTTCTACTATTTGTAATTTTCTTTTATTTTTATTTATATTATCATGCTATAATCTAAATACCACCTACTCTTTATTCTAAATATTACGTTTTTTTTCTTATTTTTAATCTTTTTATATATCAAATATAAGTTAGGATTGTTAATCTTCTATGGCTGTTTAGATACCCAGTTTCATATCAAGGATGCTGGTCTTCTGTGCATGATTGGATGTCAGATTTATATTAAGATGCTTTTCCTTTATACCTATCTGTATATGATTGGGGTTGGCTTCTATACTGAGGATACTGACTCTTTACACCAGTTTAAATGCTAGGCTTTTTTATTGATAATACATGCCTATTTGCTTGCCTTTTAAAATACTGAAATAATGTAAAAAAGGTGATAGGTCTGCTATATATCTTTTCTAAATTTATATTGTTAGATTTGTACTAATGAAGATATCTGTATCCAGATATATACCATTGAAATTGAAGACTTCTCCCATTTTTACATAATTCTGCAGAAAACTTAATATTATATTCAAATACATACCATTGAGAATGAAGTTTATTGTTATTATTTATATAATAGATTATGTATTTTTTCAGATATAACTGGATATCATATCTCATATGTAGATACTAACCTGTTATACATCTTTTTTTTTTGTATTTGGAAGGCAGTCAGTAGAAAAGGGGAAAATCCAAAATTTTTGTTAATTTTTATTATTAAGCCAAATTTGTGCATATGATCGAAATCAGTCAAATTAAATGAATATTATAATAAAATTTTTTATACTATTTATTTTACTTTAATGATATTTGAGAGTTTTGCAATAGAAAGGAAAGTTCCAAAAAAATTTTTTTTAAGTTAATGTTAAATCTGAACTTATTTTACTAAAAAAATTATAATAGCTTATAATTAAAATTTTAATTTTTTTAAAGTTTTCTTCCTTTCTATTGCAAAACTCCCATTTATTCTTTATATAAAATTTTAAATAATGATAATTAATATTTAAAAAATGCAAGAAGTATGTAAGTAAATTTTTTAATTAATTAATTAAAAAAAATTAAATAATTAGTTACCTCTTTCTCTTTTTATAGGTATCAGAAGTATCAGAAACCTTGATTCAATCAGTTCAGAGATGAGTCCTATAAAGAAAAGGTAAAGTTATTAATTGATAAATATTTTTTTTAAAATTAAATGAATTATAAAATACTTATCTCATCCTTTTTATAGTATTGGAATTCCTTGGATCGATCAAATCAGAGGCAAGTCCTATAAAGGGGAAAGGACAGTATTTTTTTTTAATTAATTAATTTAACATTAATTATTATTATTTACCTTTTTCTTATTTATAGGTGTCCAAATTTTTGAGTCCTATAAAGGGAAAGGTAAATATTTATAAAAATATTAGATACTTAAGTGAATCACTAAATATAACTTACCTTTTTCTTTTTATAGATACTGAAAACTTTTGGATCCTTAGATTTTTAGGATAATTATTGATTTTTTTAGAAATGGATGTTTATTTTATTTTTATGGTAAATTCCATGATTTTTTTTTGAAGGGTTCTATAAATTTAAAAAATAAGCATTAATATTCTATACTTATTTTTGTAGATTAGACTCAGAACAGTTCTAGAATAAGGATAAACAAGCTGAGAAAAATGCTCATATAGAAGCAAATCTATTAAAAAAAGAACTAGAACATAAAGACAAAAAATGATTCTTTGTGTGATAGATAATTCAATGTTTTTTTTTTTTCCAATGATTCAAACCGCTTAAAGAAAATTGAATATTTATATAAATAAACAATAACAATTACTTAAAAAGTTATTAGTGTAACCCTGCATAATTTAAAATGAGAAAATTCTCATCGTTTTTATTGATCCTTTTTTTTTTTGAAAAGTAAAAAAAAATAAAATAAAAAAATGCCTCCAATTCCACTTTCTTTTGAAAATTTTGAAGATATTGCCAACTGTTCAGAATCGCAAAAATCTGCGATCGATGAGATTTCAAAAGGATTTGAAGTTAATAAAACTAAACTTGATGAAATTGTTAACCATTTTTGTAATGAAATGAATAAAGGACTTGAAAAGCATGGACAAACGGTTGCTATGGTTCCCAGTTATGGTAATTTATTAATTTAAATTCTTTAAACTTAAATCATCTTTTCATATTGTTCGTTCTTATTGTATAAGTTACATTTGTATAGTTACTGGAGTTCCAACCGGAAAAGAAGTTGGTACATTTCTTGCACTTGATCTTGGTGGTACAAATTTACGTGTATGTCTAATAAAATTAGGAAGTGATGGAAATATATCCATAAAACAACAAAAATATAAAGTATCGGAAACATATAAAACTGGAGAAGCACGTCAATTATTTGATTTTTTAGCGGATTGTATTGATAAATTTTTAGCTGAACTTAATGAAACCGATAAAAGATCATCTAGTAAAGAAGGAAAATTAAATTTGGGATTTACATTTTCGTTTCCTGTTGAACAAACTGCTATCGATAAAGGTAATTTAATTAGTTGGACAAAAGGTTTTACGTGCGCTGGTGCTGTTGGTAAAGATGTTGTATTTATGTTACAAGAAGCTTTAAACCGTAAAGGAGTTCCTGTTAAAGTTTCTGCTTTAGTTAATGATACAGTTGGAACTCTTCTGGCTCATGCTTATAAACACCCTAAAACTCTTCTTGGCGTTATTCTTGGTACCGGAACAAATTGTGCTTATTTCGAAAAAATCTCGAATATCAAAAAATTGCAATTCAATTCAAATGCTGAACATATGATTATAAACTTGGAATGGGGGTCTTTCGATAATGAGGTAATTATTATATTTCAAAATATGTTGCTTCGTATATTTTTAATTAAAAAATTCGATATATTAATATTTAGAAAAAAGTACTTCCCATCACAATGTTTGATAATAAACTTGATCGAGAATCAAATATCCCTCGATTTCAAATTTTTGAAAAAATGGTTTCTGGAATGTATCTTGGAGAGATAACAAGAAATGTTTTACTAAATCTTATTGATAGGAAATTGATTTTTGATGGTATTTCTTCAAAAGATTTCAATACTCATTATTCTTTTGAGACGGCATATTTATCAACAATAGAAGAAGATGATAGTGATACACTAGAGAATGTAAGAAAAATTTTAGAAGAGGAATTAAATATACCTTCCACGACGTTAACAGATCGTAAAATTGTAAAAAGAGTTTGTCAAATTGTTGGAATACGTTCTGCTAGATTATCTGCTGCTGGCTTATCAGCCATTATATCTCATTGTAATGTAATAGAAACTGGTTGTGATATCGGTATTGATGGTTCTTTATTTGAATTTTATCCCGCTTTTGAAGCTCGTATTAAAAATGCTCTCAGAGAACATTTTGGTTCAAATGCTGATAACATCAATCTTGGTTTGGCTCGAGATGGTTCCGGTGTTGGTGCCGGTAAATATAATTATAAAAAATTTTTTTTTGAATTAGTTTTATCTAAATACATAATAAATAATAACTAACTATATTTTTTTAATATATATTATAGCTTTGGCTGCTATGTTATCTGTTAAATAATCATTGTTCTTCCACGTATTTTTACACACATACAATATAAATATGAAGTTTTTATTTGTTTATTTGAAATTTGTGTGAAGGGTATAAAAATATAATTTATTTTATTAACATTTATACAAATAAAACTATAAAATATTTTTTTTTGCTCCATTTTTTTTGTCTAAATTCAGAGAATAGATTCATAAAAAAAAAAATAAAAAGAATAAAAAATCCTATGTTTCCATTGCTACTCCCTCTTCTTCACTATCTTCAGCTCCTTCCTGAACTGTAATCGGTATCTCAAATTCTTGATCGCATCCCATATACGAGTCTGACATATAGATTAATTTTAATAAATGTTCGCCAGCTTCTGGTGGACAAGTAAAGTCTAACTTTACACCAAGAGTTTTATTTAAGGTAATACGTTTAATACCAAGTAATGAATTCTTTTCCATGTCACCAAAAACGATCCACCACCCTTCATCTTTTTTGTGTGGGAAAAATGGTGCAATAACCGGTCCTACTATCTCATCATCTTCATCAACTTCACGGTTAAGTTTTACTTCAATGACACCTTGAGAACCTGCAATAAGCTCATCTTCGTCCTTTAAATTAAATTTGACATCAATACTGGGGTATCGATTAACATAACGAGCAACTTCGCGTAATTGTTTCCCATCCATTCGAAGTATCTCATTTCGGTCTTCGTCTTCGAGTTCGATAATCCCAAAAACTGTATCAATATCTCTTTCTTCACAGCGTTTAATGATTTCTGTGGTGAAATAAGGTATTTGTTTTAATGGTGAATCACGATCCCACAGAGCCTGCACACACATCTGTGCTAACTCCATAGCAGCTAAAGCAGGTTTCAACCATCCGTTGGAACTTATAACATCAACAACTGCTTGGATCAAAGGAATAACTTTGCCCAAAACGGTTGCTTGATCAGATTGCAAATCTGGTGGTAATTGTGTCCTTGAGAAATGAGCTTGTAACATAATATTGGTTTTGATATGTGGAGAATTGAATTTTGGATTTCCAAGTTTGACCGGAAGTCGCTCATATATTTTCTTAAGAACGCTATCTTCATGATGACGAATAGGAATAGACTCAAATTCGGCCGCAGATGACAAAATCTCCAAAAGTCCTTTAAGCTTGGTTTTTTCATTCAAACTCATACTGAACATTTCTACCGTTACATAACTAACATTATAATAAGCAGCAATCATACCTAGATTAAGTGGTGAAACGTCTAATTCATCTTCTAGAGTAATACATTTTGAAGCGGCTAAATCATTGACAGTTGTCTCGACTAATTCGGATAAGTGGTCTGATAAGTGCCTATGATCGGAACCTTGCATACCATAATAATTCGGGTTTTCTACCATACGGCGATATAAAAATGTCCAAGTAAGATAATCAACAGCGTCTTGTTTATTCTCAACGGTTTTAGTGACTATCTCAGCATTGAAATGGTCATGTAAAAAGTGATCCAAATGCGACTCCACAGGTAATGCTTCATACAAGAATTTTTTATAAAAATCTTTCTTGATTGCTTGACACATCAAGACACATCGACCAGTTTCGTCTTGTCGTGGTCGACAAGCTCTACCCATCATTTGAAGAACATCTGTTATTGGATAATCGGCATATCGATGCTCCTTACCCTCAAAGAATTGAGTTCCCATAATAATAACCATGTGACAACTCAAATTTATGCCCCAACATGTATCACGTGACGCCACAACGACTTGAATTGCCCCGCTTTCAAATAGTTCTTCTACGATTCGTTTATCTTGTTTGCTTAAAGCTTCATGATAAAAACCAACTCCATGTCGTAGGGTTTCAGCTAAAGCTTTATCATTTACATTATTCAAATGATTTTCAATATCATTGGCACGTGCATGAAAGAAACGATCTGGTGTTCCGTCAGCAGCACAAAAAGTGAGTAAATCTACAGCGGTAAGTCGACATTGCTTACGAGATGGTACAAATATAATAGCTGGTCTATCGGAAGAATAAGTTGTGATAGCAACGTAGGTTGGTTTAGCCATGGCCATCATGAGTGAAGCAAAATGAGGTATACTGTAACTCTGAATGTGAATTTCTAACGGTACAGGACGAACGCTAGGATGAAAATTAAAAATGGTATGAGGAGTTGCACCAATCCATTCTCCGAGATCTTGAGCATTGGCCAACGAAGTACTTAAACATACAATGCGAATTGGATTCTTCGTTTGATGTGCGATGTAACGCATTCGCGAGACAATGATTTCGTATGTTGGTCCAACATCACTGCCAATCAAATGTAATTCATCCGCTATAAACAATGCCACGGTTTGAACATTTTTGCGTTGTTTCCATCGACGAGACATTACATCCCATTGCGTAGGTGTGGCAAATATTACATCCCCATTTTCAAGTAAGCGAAGATCCGCACTTGTCTCACCGGTAAGTGCCACTATATTCTTTCCACCTTGTATTTTGCCAAATTTTTGTCTCCACAGTGCAACTTGAAGATCAACAACTTCCTGGAACGGCGCGATATACACACAACGTCCGTGATTTTGTTTAGTCCATAAGCGAAGAAGGGCAAATTCAGCACAAACTGTTTTTCCACTTCCTGTAGGAGCTCCAACGAAGACATTATCATCCATGTTATATAAAGCATTGAATACTTGAGTTTGAATAGGGTTAAATTTATCAACCCATTCATTATATACAGCCTCATATTCGGGATTGCGTAAAGCTGATACAGGTAAAGGTTGCAAATCAAGTAACTCTGTATGTGGAGGGTACTTCTTTGGAAGTATTAAGTGTCTAAATGATATTGGTAACTTAGTTTCACAATGTAACCAACGATCCGCTATAATGGAAATAAAATAATTTGGTGGTAACGGTTCAAAAAGTGGAACAGTGAACGTTATAACATGATCCTCTTCTGCGTATTTTTGTTTGAGAATGAATGAATCGTGATACAATATAACATCACCATCAACGTCTTCGACAATAACCCAAAATGCTTCGGCTGTACCATGAACCTTTTCATCCCACATAAAATCAGGTGTGATTTTGAGTTCAACCCTTAATAATGATCTAGTAATCGGTTGAACATAAGTAACAAGATCTAATTTCGGAAATTGATGAATAAACTTGTGAATCAATTTTCCAACTTTGGGTATTCCAACAAGTTCCCCAATTTCTTGTGGATTCAGATCAAAATATCTCTCCCAAGGGAAATCTTTCTTTTCTACTTTTTTAACCACCTCCATGGGCATTTGTTTAAATTGTCGTAACGGTGACATTGAAAGCCACATACGTTTTTCTACCATTTTACAGAGGTCTAAAGCCCTTCTAGATAATTGAGACCAACCTCGCTTAAGACATATTTCAAACATTGCTCTGAGAATTCTACTTGCTGACTGTGTAACATAAACCATATCAGAAACCAGTGCAAAACCTTCAAGTTTTAGTTGTGAAATGTAAGATTGTAAAAGGACGTTAATTTTAGAAGTTGGTTCTTCAATGCTTTCCTTTACAGGTATAGGTACACGTTCAAGTAATTTGGATAATTCAAGCTTTTCTTCTTCACGAACAGGGATATATTTGAATTCATCGGAAAGTGCGAACACACGGAACAATTCAATATGACCCATCATAGGTTTTAAGTGCTGGTTGTACGTAGACATTGACGTGTGGGTAATGTAAAAATGTGAAGCAATGCGACCCAACTCGGTAACCTGAAATCTACCAGTTTTCTTATCATATTTTATCAAATTAGATTTGTCTAATAGTATAGCAGCTGAATGAACTAAATCGACTCGTTTTTGTTCAAGGTATGGATCGTCTTCTAAATAGTCCATAGAAATACCATAAAGATTGGGATTACGTAACATGCGAACATATAAATACGTATATCCTAACCATTGAACTGCTTCATCTCGGTTTCTTACTGTACCCAAGACAATCTCTGCGTTTAAATTATCAGCCATTTTACTTATAAACTGACTTTCAATTGGTAATTGTTGATTTAAAAGAGATAAATAATATTGAAGTTCAGTGTGGGACGTTATAATTATACCCTCACCAAAAGTGTCAAATTGTGGACGACCTGCACGTCCCAACATTTGAAGTACATCCTGAGGACTTAATTCTACCCAACGACCTTTTTCAGGTGAATAAATTTGCGTTCCTTTAATAATGACGGTATGTGCAGGTAAGTTAACACCCCAAGCTAAGGTTGCAGTGGACACGAGAACTTGAATATGGCCATCAGCAAACAAATCCTCAACAGTAGTACGATCAGTACGTGACATTCCTGCATGATGTATAGCGAATCCAAAAGGCAACAACTCCTGAAGGTTTGGATCTTTTATACTTTGAAGTTCATCCTGCAAAACTTCCTTACTAACTGAACCTGGGTTAAGGAATAGTCCAAGTGTGTCCTTATCTAATGCCATATCTTTAATTGTCTTTGCCGTCTTTGCAGTTTCCTTTCTTGAATGAACAAATATTAATACCTGATTTTTTCCAGCTTGATCTATAACTTTTTGATATGTAACTTCATTCATGACCTGGAATCGCTTGATTGCCTTTTTTTCTGTAACTCCGATAAATTCCTGTTTTAATGGACACGGACGAAATGTGCTATCGAAATGAAATAAACCCTTTTTGGGGTCTACACGCAAAAATGTAGCTACGTCACCATAATTAGGAAGAGTAGCGGATAGACCCACTAATCGAATCATTTCTTGAGTTTGCTCCATGTGACGAATAGTACGAGCAACAATACTTTCTAGTACAGGACCTCGATCGTCATGAAGCAAATGCACCTCATCAATAATGATAAGTTTAACAAGATTTGTATAACTTCTATCAGTGGCTTTTCTTGTTATAACATCCCATTTTTCGGGTGTAGTGACTATAATTTGCGTTTCTGAAATTTGTTGTTTGGTAAGTTGACGATCTCCGGTCAATTCAGCAACTTTAATACCATATGGTTGTAATCGAGTTGAAAAGTTGCCAACCATTTCTTGTACAAGAGCTTTCATTGGGGCAATATATACAATCTTAAAAGAGTCCGTGTCAATAATGCCTGTTTCTACATCACGATTTTTTTCAATTTCATTAAGAATACACAACATGGCAACATTCGTTTTTCCTGAACCAGTTGGTGCACAGACTAATAAATTTTCATCTTGTCCAAATGCAACGGGATAAATTTGACTTTGTATACGATTAAGAGTTCTTGCACCCTTAAATGCATCTTGTATCCATACAGGAAGTTCCTTAATTGGAATGAGCTTTTCATCATCTGAAAATGGTTTTTGTTTTGGTGCAGGGACATGAATTTCTTCATAGCCCTTCTTAGAGCGTTTAAATGAGCCCTCAGGTAGTTTGCATTTTTTATTCGACATTAAATGACCACCCTGAGTAAACATTAAAGTTTCTAAATCTACTACTGCTTTTGGTGTTGCCGTTGTACCAGGAGGCAATGTAGCTTTGACAGCAGCCGGTATTGGACCAAGTGAAAAAACAGTTCTATCATCAATTTCCATTGCATCCTCAACAACACCCTTACGTGCAGCACCTTCACCACGACGAATCCTTTCCCCACCGAGATCTCTCAAAATCCATTCTAATCCAAGTTCGCGCATATCTTTTTCAATATTTTGACGTTCCTCTCCATCAGTACCAGTTCTAGCTAGCTTAGTGCACCAAACGATTAAATCACGATTACGAGTCAATATTTTTACAAGATCAAATTTGTCATATTCAAATAAAGACATTAACTCATTTTCACAATCGCGTGTATTTATATCTGAAACGAGAATTTGCATTGTACTTGAAGTTTTCTCTTGTGCTGTATGTGGATCCGAATAATAATTAGCGACCAAACGTTGAAGCCAAAAGGCATCAATATCGTGTGGCGATATTTTTTGATCTGTCTGTGCGACAGAAATTTTCTTCGATTTTGATATTTCTGGTCCTATAACAGTTTTAAAACCTTCATTTTCCTCATCTGAAGCAATTTCCTTATCTTCGTCGTCTTCGATTTGTCCCACACCTAATATTCCAGTTGTCTCTGCCTCTACTCCGCCTTCATCATCCTCCTCCTCTTCAGATTCCACTTCATAGGTTCCATACTCATCTTCCACTTCTTCCTCTTCATCAAAAACTACAGCAACCCCTAATTCATCATCAATTTCTCCTGTATCTCCTTCTTTATCCAGATCCATCACTTCTCCTGTATGATAATCGGTAATTTTCTTTCCCAAATTAACCAACTGAGCAAAGCGTTCTGGTTCCATTGAACCAATAAAAGACTCGATCTCTCTTTTTCTATCAAAATCTTTGAGATTCTCATCTTTCAATATTTTTAAGATATCATCTGCAGCACTACGGACAACATCTTGAGCTTGATCACCAAGGTGTTGGTGAACAAATGCCAACATCAATTCATACGTTTCACGGGTTTCTTTTGTTCTTGGTCTATAAGATTGTCCATCGAAATACTCAGTTGCTGCTAATACATTAGAGTAACCATATGCTTTCTTCAATGAACTACAGAATTATTAGAAAATAATTAGATTTATTTTTGTTTCCAATTCGTAAAGATTCGACATTATTACCTTTCTTCTTTTCGACGTCTCTTCTTTTCTTCAGCCTCAGCAGCTTGTTGGGATTTTTTCCTTTTTGCCTGTATATCTTTTACAGTGTCCCTTTGAGCTCGGGAACCAAAATCTTTTGGATTAATTTTACCCCATAATGATTCTGGTTCACCAGAAGGCTCATGATCTCTTCGAGGTAATTCTGATCGGTTAGCCTGAAGGACGAGATTGGAGTTTGCAGTGTATTGATATTGATTTCCTCTTGCAAGCTGCTCAGCCATTATTTATGTATTGTAATAATAATTTTTATTTATCGGATTACGACCGTTGCATAAGATGTGAAAAGTATTTTATTTATAATAAATTTTTTTCTTTTATATTTGTAAAAAAAATTCAATAGTTAAATACGTGATCAATACTTCAACCAATCAACTGAATTCTTATGATTAACTAAAAAATTAGCCAGCTGAAGGTTAAAAATGATTATTAATAATTAAAATAAGTTCAAAAGGTTAACCATATATATAATATATACAATATTAAAATTATATGAATTCATTAAACCTTTTTTCAATTATTATTTAATATTTTTTTTAACAGTAAAAAACTCATATTATATCAAAATATTATAAAAATTATAAAATCCTTTTAATAATCATTTAAATAAATATTATAAAAAAAATTTAATATAATAATTTATATTATAATATATAAATATAGGTAAATTTATGATCTTTTGCTATTTAGATAACCTAACTATTATAATAAAAAGTTTAAAATTACTTATAATCTAAAATCTTCAATTTTCAAAAAAAAGTATTATTTATATTTTATTAAAATTACTTAGTTATATTAATTATTATGAAATTTGTTATTAATAAAAACTTTATTTTAATAGATATTTAATAAGTTCTTTGACCTTTAAATATATTTACAAATCAAATAAAAAAAAAAATACTAATTTTAATAATGTAATATTCATATATATACCAAAAATAGATATTTAATAAATTTTATTAGTAATTAAAATGATTTAATTAATACAACAACATAAATATAAATTTTAAGCTAATTTATTTTAAAAAGGATATTTATCCTAAGATATAATGATGTTTAAGATAAAATAATAATAAATTTCGTATTTTTGAATCCATCATCAAAAGGTTGAATTGGTTAATTAATTAAAAAATGGAATGTTATAAATTAAATTTTTATAAACTCCTATTAATAAAATAAACCGAAATATATTTTTACATTTTTACATTCTTCAAAACATAATTGGGATAAGAATTTAAAATTAATATTTTGTAAAATGTTATATCGATTCGAGGGATAGATAATGAAATTGAACATTTCAAAAAAAAACACAAAACATAAAATATACGGAAACTAAAACTTCATTTATTGTAATTAATCTCCTATTACTTCTAATCTCGTCAGCACATTTGTGTCAGCATATATTTTATACATTTTCCGTTATGTATAACAATGACTATTTCCAAAGATTCTCATATTTACAAAAAATCTCCTCAATTTATTTACTTTTTATAAAATCTTTTTCCGATTTTATTTTTTTTATCATGTCGAAGATAGATATCTTCAAACCTAACCTTGACAATTTCAAGTTTGATTTTGAACAATTTATTCATACTGAGGCTATAATTCAGAAGAAGATTGAAAGATCACACGGTATGTATTTTTTGAACAATCGAAAAATACAATTATGTTAACTCATTGAAAGATACGATTATAATGTTTATTAGAAGTCATCAAACGACGACGAAACGCAAATGATATCGTGTGTAAACATTGGTTGATTGGATCATGTTTTCGTATCAATTGTACCTATTTGCATTCCTATGAGTTTGATAACATGCCATCATGTCCAACCATGAAAAAGTTTGGATCATGTAAGAGAGATGTTTGTGTGTTTTCTCATAGTTTAGGTGTTAATAGTAACAAAACTCAAAAAAAGTGTCGAGCTTATGAGCGTGGATTTTGTAAATATGGTAATTATTGGATTATTTATAATGAATTGATCCGATTTCAATTTTAATATTTTATATATATTGAAGGGCAAACTTGTAAATACAAACATATACGTCGTGTGTTGTGTGATCTTTACTTGTCAGGATTTTGTCCGCGGGGTTCGACATGTCCAAATGCACAGTATGATTTTCATTTCCAATAAATCATTATAATTTTAATTTATTTGATTTATTATTTTTCTGCTTTCTTAGTCCAAAGCATTTCACAAATTCTTTCAAATCAAGACAAAGCAAACCTCAATATCATGGAAAGGAAATGTATGGATTCAGAAAAGCCTGGGAATACAGAATAATGGAATTGCCTTATTAAAGTGGTTAATAAAATTAAAAAGAAACTAGGATCAGATTAATTTTGAATTTTATACTTTAAAGGAAGAAATTACTTTATTAAATTAGTTTTTATCGGTATTAAAAAATTTTGTTTGCTCTTTTACTATTATTTGGAATATTTATTTTTACGACGAGGACCTTTTTTAAAGCATCATAATTTTTAAATATTTGAGCTTGAGAAATAAGTTAACTTTTAAAAGGAGTTTGGTGCATATACGAAATAAATGACATCAATGATATTTTATTAAAAAGATTGGATTACTTTTTAATATTGGCCATGAAAAATTATGTTATATATTGTCGGTCATTTAAATTCACTTACATACTTATTCAGCATCGTATCCAATTTAAAATACAAGCAGTAAATCTGGTCAGTTGTAACTTCGTCCGAAATTTACTAATTTACTATTCTATATTGAAGAAATAGCCGAATGTCTTTTTCATGATATCGGCCTTTTGTTTAACAACGTGAATATGATTCGTGGCTCGATTTTAATAGCCAAACGAAGCATATAAAGCAAATTTTATTAAACCTTTCTTTCATATTATAACTGCAGTCCATCATCCCATTCGCTTCGAGAATATTTACGAAGTTATTTTTTCCGAATGTATGATTTACCTGAAAAATTTTATCCGATGGGCCAATAAGATCTGACATTTAATACGTATCTGACCAATTGATCTTCCCAATTTAGAAATTCAACACGATCAAGATAAATAAGCGTATTTACAACGATAAAAAAAATCTTTTTCGACTTATGTTTCTCAAAAACACTACATTTTTTACTATGCCTTTAAGAAAAGATGATTTTCTCAAATACTATTCCTTTTTGTTGGCTTTTTCCTGTATATGTTGTAAGTATTTCCTCGTTCTGCAATTTAACGCCGATGTCAAACCGTCCCTTTGTCGAGGGTACTCCTTCCGGATTGCATGGCTTGACATACATGAATCGTTCGTGACTATTATATGCCCTTATTGTATTGAAAGGCCTCTTGCTATTTTTCCTTAGCGAAGACAAATCAACCTTTGGTTGGTTACAGCAATGCCAAAATACTCTACCCTGCTTTTAATGGTTAATTTTTTCACCTTTCTTTTTTAATGAACAATAGTTCCTCATTTGCATGGAGAACCAAACCGGGTTGCAAACAATTATTAAAGAGGGTTCAAAGATAATTAATTCCTCAATAGTAGGCTGTGAATTATATGAATAATGAGACCCGGTCCTAAATTTCAAAAATTTGGATACATTTATCATTTATTTTTAATAAAAATTCCTTTATTACATTATTGTTAGAAATAAGTATTAAGAAAAGGTTCAGATGATGCATCTGGATATATGGGATAAAGTTACATTACAGATCATATGATTTACCATGTCTCATGATTTGATTTTCCTGGAAATGTTCCCATATGCAGGTAAATCAACTTGCAACTGGAAGCAACGCAAAATACAATGCATGAAACATCATCGAGATTCGAATAATGGAGAGAAAATACCAAATACCGAAAAAATTATAGCTCCATAAAAAAGGTGAGTTCGAGATTAAAGATTCTTCATAAATTTGTTGTATAACGAATATAAACCTTTTGGATATGTGTATATGTCAAAACTAGTACCCCAGAATCTGCGTTTCCCATTTATTTTTATCCTCAATTCAATCACATGATGTAAAATTTGTTTAGAGTTATATGTCACGTTTGGTGAAAACTATTATTAATCACGTTTCCTAGTATAGTATGTACGTGCCGGCCATTGGATAATATTGTATAACCTAGAATCCATCAAATTGAATTATGGGTTCAGGAAGCCGATGAACAGCTTATCAGATATAATTGTGATGCATAGTGTCCTGGATGCTGAAAAATATCGCATAAATCAAAAAAAGCTAGAGTTTCGCATTTAACAAACGAAGGACATATTTGTCGGAAAAAACATACCAATAATAATTACATTTGAAGTGGAGTGTGTAAATGATTACGAGTGGTGTTCTCATTTCAGTAATATACAAATATAATTTTTTGGCTAAAATTATTGAGAACGTTATAGAAGATGTGCAAAGCGTAGATTAAAAACACAAAAAAGTAGTATGAAAGAATAGAAAATACCTTTCAGAAAAGTATTATTGATACCAATAAACCATCATTAACCATCATTGCAAAGTATCATGAATGAAATAAGCATATAGTACAGTATGGTAGTTGGTGTTATTCTTTAAAACTTGATCTGCAAATTGCAAGAGCTTTTAATAAAGGAGCCGAATTTTCTTTCAGCGTAATTAAATACTTGTATAATTGGGCATTAAATATTTATATGTAATTCTGCTAAAATTTTTTTTAAGCATAATAATAAACTCTTTGATAATAGATATATTACGATAATTCTAATAATTGTATTATAATATATAATTAGTTTTAAAATTGTAAAATTCAGTTTATAAAATTTAAATAAAATTATATATACAAATTGATAGATTTGTAATATTATACAGTCCCTGGCGAAAAGAATGGCGATAAAATCCGCATCAATTTTTATGCTGTGGATTTACCGCTTTTTGGAATTAAGCATTGATTATATGCCCAAATCGGACATTGGAATCAGAATTTAAAAGGTATATTAAAAAAATAAGGTTTGTTATTTGTTTTTATTTTGATTTTATCTCC